TATGTGTAGAGTAGGGCTGCAACTATGATTTATTATACATTTTATTTTGATTTGTTCTCTTTGTAAAGCATGTTTGAGCATTTGTAAAAGCCCTTGATAAATAAAATGTATTATTAATATTATTTTTAATATTATCTGCTTCTTATTTTCCTCATTTAGTTGATACACATTTCAACAATATATATATATATATAAAGTCATTTCCTGCCTGGTTTACTTTAACCAGCAGTCTTAACACTAACTAACTCAATGATGTGTAACAGAGAAAATCCTTGCATCCTACGAGCTGATTTTGCTTTAAAATAGGCTCCTCGGCTCGACTGCCGTATCTCACTTTTATTTTTGCGTTTTGTTCTCATACCTCTTGTTCTCAACAGTGTTAAGTAAAAATAATATTTACACAAGAAGCAACACACAGAAAGTCTGTTGTTCAGACTGTAACTGCATCATTTGGTCCATCATGTTAGCTTGGACTTGGCTTTTCGAGTGAGATCACTAGGGCTGTACCCGAATATCGGAATATTCGTTCGTTACTATTTGGGTTTCAATTTCGTTATTCGGATATTCGTTTTTTTTCTTTTTATTTATTGAAATGTCCAATATCAACATAAGAGCTTGTGCCTCTTCGGGGGGTGCTAACACTTAACCATAAACGTTATCGTTTACTTTCTCCGTCTTTATATGTAGATATTACTTTTTCTCCATTAATCTCCGTCACATTGTTTCCATAGCAACAACAACTTCCTGTCAACTGCGCTAACTCTCCCTTCAAAATAAAAGCATGTCCATACAAAATAGAAAGCCAAGCCAAATTACACTTAAGACATAATGCAACGAAAGTAACACACACACAATGCAATATCCTTTTCAATTTCAAAGAACACAAATTGGGTTGTATACATGAACAAATAACTATAAAACAACAATACTGTAGAATAACAAAAAGAATGCTGCCTGTGAATAAACCGAAATACACGTGTCGAAGCGCTCGCTGCTGATTACTAACCCCCCGCGCAGAACGAATATTCGCTGCTGATTACTACCGAATATCCGGAGCCCGAAAAATGGTATTCGGGACAGCCCTAGAGATCACTACAGATATTAGCTGAAGAAATGTAAAAGGTGTTCATGACCTCACATGTTAATAACTACCACATGTTCTGTAGTGAGATATTTAAAAAAGGACCTGAACTCAGAACCATTTCCCTGTAACTCACCCTGGCTGCTGCTACGACCACGCTCTCCCCCGTCTTGTGGCCCTTGGCTGTCGTGTTGAGAGGTTTGGTTGAGGCCCAAACATTATAATCACCCAAAGGATCACAAATCATCTCTAAAGGGAGACAAGGGACAAGAAACAACAGGGACTTTGGTCAGAGTTAGTCTAAAAACAGAATCATTTTAGTTTAATTAAAAAGATTTCTCCCTAAAGTTGTGTGGGCTTTAAAAAATGCCCTGTGACAATAATTATGTCAACAACTTATTGTATGAATTGGACATTAACTCGATAATGTTTAGGTTTTAAACCAATCGTATGATATATAAACATGACCTCGATCAGTGTTACCATATGTACCTATTGTATGATACAGCATTTTGTGTTGACTTAGATATAGCAGAATACACATCAGGGTTTCCCTACTATTATAAAACTTGGAAATTGTGCAAACTAAGCCATTTTATTGTTAATAGCAACCTTTTTATTTATTGTTGTGTTTTTTTGTTTTTTTATATATATATATACTTTATTTTTTTAGGATATTTAATTTACATTATTTTCACATTCCAATTTTAATGTCGGAATATACTTAAACATTACAAGGTGCATTGCTCTTTAAAAAACAGTGAACCATTATCATATAACCATTATATCAGTGGCATAAAATGGTCTTAAAACAACAACTATTTCTGGGTCAGACTGCCATCCTACGAAAGCAGTTATCGTGGCAGGAATACGTGTTGTCTACATTCCTCCATGTTGTGTAAATACCTGGGCTGAGGCTTAAGTTGAGGTCGTTCCTCCTCATGCAGGTGGCCGTGTCGGTGACGGCGGACATGTGAGAGTAGAGCTGCATGGCACACAGCGGGTACTGAGGAACGCTGCCATTCACACCGCGGTTATGATCCATGTAACACTGCGAGAGGAGAACATAATATGAAACCTCTTGTGTGTGTGTTTTTGTACAGAAGCCACAGAGACATTATAGTATTTAAGGGAAGCTCAGATACTTTTCAGTCAATAAAACAAGTTGCAACATATGCTGTTGGGTCTGGAGCTGTTGCTAAGGGGCACAGTGGCAGGTGTGGGCCTAATTACACTTTAACTATCATGAGTGGGATTACATTTTCATTACAGGATCAAATCTCAAACTGTCTGTTCAAGTACAAAGCCAAAGTCATAACTATGTGCTTATCTTCAGGTTCATATTTAGTGTCTCTGTTATGACATGTCTCCATGCTTTAATGTTCAAAAAGGTCTTTGTTTTTCTCATACTGCCTGTGCTGCAGCACCTCTTTTCACCCTGTGTCTGAAACCAGAGCCCAGTCTGCTCTGATTGGTCAACCACTTAGAGATGTCCCGCCCCTTACTCTATCACGTAAAATATTTTGGAGCGCTAGCCAATAGAAGCCCGGGTGTTACATAGTGATGTCCTCTGGAGGGAACACAGGGATTTTAGCCTTTGCAGACAATTTACAAGCACAAAAACCTATAGAACACACTACAGGAAATGGGAAATCCCCATATAAGAGCCACTTTAAAGAGTTTCAGAAAAAAAACCGCCCTTCAAATATTAAAGGTCCCATGTCATGCTTTTCCGGTTATTACCCGTCCCCTTGTGTGTTATGAAGGTTTTTCTGCATGTAAACGGTGTGCAGAGTCAAAACCCTTAAAGTACACCCTGTAGCGAGTAAAACTCTAACACAGAAAATACCTCCCCAAAACGCCTCGTTGATGAAACGTCATCATCCATTTGATTCTTCCGGGTACGTGCTTACGAAAGCACGTACCCAGAACTAAATGGGCCAATCCGTGGAGCCGTTAAGTTACGTCCGCGGAGCCGTTACGTTAAGCCCCCGCTGATTGGTCCAAATTGACCAATCCACACACACACACACTCAGTGCATGCAGCTCTGCTGATCTCTCCTCCCTGGCTGCAGGCTGATAACAGACAGTTGGGATCGCGGCGAAATTCTCTCTGCAGACCCATTCTCACAGCGTTTATCTAACCTTTTTCTTACTCAATATCAAGCCACACTTATTGTTTTTACTTCGGCTGTGACTTTGTGTGTGTTCAGGTTGAGTTTGGCTGTGTTTCGCTGTGTATCGCTAAACAAGGAAACCACACCTCCACGGAGCTCAGCGCAATTCGTACCGACCAATCAGAGCACACTGTGCTCACAGGGAGGGGGGGCTGCAGCGAGCCGTTTAGTGGAGAAAGTGTGTCAGGGAACTCACGCAGCGTCAGAAAATAAAACCCTCTCTCTTTTCCTCCGTACCCAAGTCTCTAAAGACGGGGGTACAACGGACCTGATCCAGATTTGCGTCCGATATGATGTAATATCCGAAATGTAGGCTGGCTTTACATCCACCCACGCACTGTTTCAGAAATAATCCTTGATAATCCATGATATGGCGTTTCATCATAGCAGAATTTAGTTTAGACAGTAGCTGCCGGGTCCCGCATGAGCTCAGCCCCCCTCCTTTTTTTATTTTAT